TTTCTGTGTTGTTTTATTTCTGTGTTAAGACTTGTACATCTAGAGTTAGCTTGTTTGAGTCTCTCTTTTTTGTTCAAGTCACCGTCTTCCAGCAGTGGTGATTATGCTGTTAGGGAAGGGACTAGTCATAGTACAGTTGGGATTTCAATTTCCTCTATCTGGTACTTAGGGCTCTATCCTGTATCTTCTATTTGACAGCTACAGCCTTGTGCCTGTGGTGGTTTGGTCAGAGAGCTTGGAACACAGGTTTTTCCTGGGAATGTGGCCTGATACTGGCTCTCAAATCTGGTTGGAATAGTTAAAGGGATGGCAGGGTTCTGGTGAGTCTTGAAGGGAGGAAGTAGCTAGGATCTCCCTGCAGCAGAAAGAGACCCTGGTGGGAGTTAGATTGGGATCTGGAAAATCACCAAAGGGAGAAGGTCCAGGAGGAGGAAGTGGTCCCTGACAAGAGAGGCAAGGTGGTAGGGCTTTGGGGTGGCAAGGGAATATAGGCAGCCTACCTAGGTCTCCAGGCTGTATAGGGAGCCTAGCCAATCAGTATCTGTGTTTTTGTTGTTTTCATTGTGGTTGTTGTTTTGAGACAAAGTCTCCCTGTAACCCCAAATGGCCTGGAACTCACTATAAAGACCAGGCTGGCCTCAATCTCACAGAGATCCACTTGCCTCTGCCTCCCAACTACTGGGATCAAAGGCGTGTACAACCCAGCTCTGAAATGTTTTAAATCTTTTAAAAAAGGCTAGATGTGAGCTTACTTCCATAGAGTGAGTCTTCAATAGAATCAAGATAGTTCCTTTTCTTTCTTCCCTCAGATACAAAGATAAAACCGGAACAAAACAAATTTATAAAGGTCAAATTCTACACCTACTATGCTCTAACCTGGGAATCAGCATAGTAGCAGAAAGAATGGGCTTTTCAGTCCAACAAGCTCATGCTTGAATTCCAGGTGATCATCTGATATGTGTGTGTGTAGTGCAGGTTGGCCTCAAACTGCTATATAACCAAGGCTGCCTTGAACTCCTGATCCTCCTGCCTCCACTTTCCAAATTCTCAGATTACATGCATGCACCAATAAGTCTGATTCCAGCTGAGCATCTTAATAGTGCTATGGATTTGAGCTTTCGAATCCAGTCTTTGAGTCTGTTTCTTCCTTGGTAAAATGGAATCTATTTGAATTAAGATTTGAACCTGAGATGTTGCCCAAAACGCTTGCAGGCTTGGCTGTCAACTGATGAGCTTTTGGGGAGTGACTACATCCTGAGGGCTTGGACTAATCGATGATCAAATAAATCAATAGACAAATCTGTTGATGGATTCATAATATGATGGCATTATTTGGAGGTGGAGAATAGGAGTTGGGGTCTAGTTGGAGGAAATGGGTCACTAGGGTGCCCTGGAAAGAGGTCTCTTCTCCCATCTCAGCTTCCTGTCTTCCAGGAGGTGAGCTGCTGTACTTTACCACACGCTCTCCACCATGATGTTTAGGCTCACCATTGTCTAGAAACAACAGAGCCAAATGACCATGGACTCAAATCTCTGAAACCATGAGTCAAAAGAAATCTTTCCTCCTTGAAAGTGTTTTCCTCAGGTATTTTTCACAGTGACAAAACACTAACACAACTTGTAGTCTGATGGATGTGTAGTTTCAAGTATGGTAGGCACATGGCAGGCCTTCAGTCAAAAGGTGGCCTTAATGAATTTTGTGAACTTTTATTCTTCCCACCTCGCTCCCACCACTCTAAGGACATGCCCTTTTTCTGGAGGCTGTTCCCCCTCTGCCCTCACCTGTGGTGCTCCGGCAGTCACAGCACTCCTGGGAGCCAGTGGGCTGTGAGGCATTGCAACAGTGGAGGCAGCGGCTGTCATCCATATGCAGCAGCAGGCTGGCAGCACACACGGTACAGTTCCTGGCGCCAGGTCCCTTGCATTCCATGCAGCTCTCATGGCATTTTTCACACTTAAATTTCTCTCCCTGTCAAGAACATCAGAAATGTTCCTTTTGAGTGCAGTGGTATTAAGTAGGCACTGCAGTTCCCAAATGGGGATTCCCTCTTGTCTGTGTAAGTAGGAGTATGGAGGAAGGGTGGAAAGGTATGTATTATGCTCCATTTTATTAGAGCTGGGAAAAAGATCAGCCCAAGTATGTACAACTGGATGGAACCATTGCTGGGCTCTGCACTCCTGAGACCTACCAGTAGTACTATAAGGGAACAACAGGCTTCCAGAACATTTTGTTACAAAGGACAAGGTCCTCTGCTCAAAGACGGTATAGGTTAAGGCCTACTTTTGTCTGGCCCTCACTATACAGCCTTTCACATTCTAAGACACTGTGTATCATTTCCACAATTCAACAGCGAGGTACTTCACATGCAGATCAGTTCCTTATTTTTTCTCAAAATCTAGAAGCCTCATCAGTGCTGGAGTCATCACTCTCCCTTGGCAGTGTCACAACAGCGCTGAGTGACTTTAGTTCTAGTCTCAGTGGCTCCTTCACTATGTTATCCTGTTTGATGGCATTCCTGGCACTTGCTATTGTCACCAACACATGTGTTACAAAGGCAACACATCAGGCTCCACTCTCTAGTTTCCTTGTGTGTATATATGGTGTTTTGATTTTTTGTTCGTTTTGCTTTGTTGTTGTATAAAGTCAGGATCTTGCTATGTAGCCT